CTAAAAAAAAAAACCTTCCTGTGACATATCTAAAATGTGTCAATTCAGTTGCAAAGTTGAAGCAAGAGAACAAAAACACAGACTTCTGGCCTTTTACAAATTTTGAAAAGTTTGACAGTGGCAAGAGAGACAATGGAACCTTTTAGAGTGAAGTGATTTTTAAGGAACTTCCATATAAATATGTAGAGAGCCTAAGGCTTGCCATTTTTTTTTAAACTGAAAATATATTTGAGCAGTTTTAAGAAAGACATAGTTAAAAAAAGGGTATGAATAAATTTCAAAAAAGCCGTGAGTATGATAAAAATAATGAGACCCCAATATTTTGTTGTTTTTTACTAAAATTTTTCAGATTTGCGGTTCACATGGCAAAAATACTTTTTGCTAAATCAATAACATACAGAAGATGTAAACTGCAACCATATAGTCATGTTTTCTCCTGCAAAAGATAGCTCATCACAATCCTCATTTTACTAGCAATGCAAACATGGAGCCATTGCTTCCTTCTAGATCAGGTACTGAGTGCTTTGCATTTTTTACTACACAATAATGCAACTGTATAAGAAAGTGGAGCTAAAAGATACACTTGACTTTACATTGAAATTACTGTAATCGTAAATGTTACCTTGATCATGAAAACACATGTCCTGCTGGAATACAGATTTGATGCTATTTCCTATTCTACTAGCAAAATAAATCTAAAACACAAAGATGATATTTACATGCATATTCCAGCAGCTTTAAAATGCATAATAAAATCACAGCAATTACAAACTTGATTTAAAGTTAGTGATACAAAACTCTGAACCATACTATCGAATCTGACACCCAGGTAAAAATCCCAGAGCCTATACATTTATGGAGAGGGCAAAAGGAAAGTAAAGCAAAGTCGCTACTCTCTCTGCCGCATCCTCTTTCAGCTATTCATTATGTAACTTTATAACCATACAATACTTGCTGGGGAAGTCTCATTTCAGTGCTAGGTCTGACAGTGTATTTTAACACCATGAAATATATTTCACAACTGACTTTTTCAGTTCAGGAAGGTATCTTTCAGTTCAGGAAGTTTCATCAGTTAACTTCAAAACATTAAACATGATAGATGTGTTACTTACCCGAGAGTGTGAAAACCCATGTATCATAAAACAAACTGCAAGAATCCAGCCGAACTAGTCAGTGTTGCACCCAACCTTTTCCCATCATGATTTCATTATTCTAACCCATTTGTCAGAATTTAACCTTTAAATTGGGCATTGGTTATTTGCACCTGGGTCAGTAACCGTGTGGTCATCACAGCTACAGTTCATTGACATCTAATGCAGGTTTAAATTTGACTAATGCAATCTCACAACACCAAGTCAGGACACTTGGAAAGCAGGTACATGTGTGGAGACCAAAGTGTTCTCTAAAAATAAATAAACAAACAAATAAATAAATAAATGAAATTGCACACAGCAAATGTATAGGAAGAGACTGTTAGGGCACTTCATCAACTATAGCATAGAATTGCTTTAGCAATGCAGTAATTCAGTTTACACTGCTGTCTCTGCAGTAAATATAATTTTCAGTGTTGATTTGTTCAATTTAAAATACTGGTGAACAGCAAGCAAACTGGTTCAGAGATAAAGCTAAATTCAGATATTATTTTTTTATATATATATAAAACTTTGTTTTTCCAACCCACAACTTTCTCCTGTCCCCATGGAGTCTAAAATTTTATCGTTGTCCCTTAGAAAGGTGTAGATTTTAAAAAATGGGAACTGTTGCGTAGTAGTGAGTTCTCCCTGGAGAAGGCCTGCCATGGATTTCCCAGTGGGGCACTTTGGGGATGACAATTCTATAAGCTCAGCCAATGTCACCCACAGAGCTTGGAGGGGACTGGAAAACATAGCTTAGTTTCCCTTTCAAACAAAGAGCAGAGATGCAGCCAGTTATCACTGCAGACAGTCCTGACTGATACGACAGGAGAGAGCGGCAATGCTTTAATCGTAGTAACTGTCAACTCTCCTTGCTCTTCTATGCTTTCAAACTTTCCATGATAAGGCCTCATGCACAAAATTGCTCTCTGATTAATTAGCTGACCGGAATTCTGTTTCCATACTTATGGTCACTTCAGCATATACACCAACCACATTACCAAATACAAACTTTATGTTTTCTCCAGTTTTCATAACAAAGAAGACGACTATATCTAGATCAATACATACAGCTAGCTGTGAGATTAACAGCAGAGATGACTCCACAGCACTAACTACTTAGTCCAACACATCATATAGTTAGAATAAAAAATAATCATTTAGAGGGCTGGACGTAGGAGTGGAGGGAACGGAAAACAGAGCAGAACTCTGCATTACTTCATTCCCCACTGGTAGCTTCTCCTGGAGCAAAAGGCCAAAGATCAGAAAGTTGCAATGCTTTTTTCTTTCCCAATATCCAACCAGAGCTTACACTTGGGATGCAGTGAAGTCTAGCATATCCAGATAGGGCTGGACTTGCCAAACACAGTACATTACCCTTAGGTTTACACAAATTACTTCAGCCTTTTCACTTGAAAGACTTTGTCCATCTAAGCATTCAGACAGATGTGCAAGGTCTGCTTCACCCTGCTAGTGGAGTGGATTCAGACACTGAAGAACTGGAGCTGAGACCACAGACTCCACTTTAAGGACTCTGCAGCTATTCAAACCTCCACTTAATTCCTCTCAACTCATCCTCACAGAAAGTCCTGAAGCTTAACAAATTCTGACCCTGACTTTATTATATGAACCAGAAAAAGAATAATCACTTAAATGACTCAAAATATTGGAGGAAAATATTTCAAACAGACCTGCCTGAGGCTGCCTACCTCATCATTCGGGCATCCAGGCCCGTTATTTACCTCAGCTGTTCCTGTCAGATGACAATAGGGCCCCACGAGTCTGCCTTGCCCTACGACCTCCATTTTGTTGTCTACTTTTGAGTGTTGGCAGTTGAAGACCTTTGGGGCTTTTGAACAAGTGCCCCTTATTCCTTTGTCTGATAGAAACTAGAGCAATACATGATTAGACATTTTTTTTTCTTTTTGGTTTGTAGCTTTCCCCTCAAAAAGATAAAAATCAAAAACCAAGAAATCCCAGAGATGGAATTTTTACACCACAAGCTGGGCCTGCTGAGAGCAGGTCTGCTATTTCTAGCTATCTCTAGCTATCTGGACTGGTATATAGTCCCACCAATTAGAGCTCCTAGCGGCTGGAGGCAACTAAATGGCGCTTCTGATTGTGGGAGCCCGTGTTTGTAGACATGGCTGTTCCCAGGCAAAGATGAGGGTCCAGTGCACTAGGCTAAGCCTTTTTCGAGATGAGTTAATACATTTTTTTTTTAAATTATTGACAAGACTACAGACCAGATCAATTTATATAACCTTTATTTCTTCTTCTTCTAACATGAATTATCTGGTTATTTAGCCAATATCTACTTCATATCTGAAGTAGCCCATGATGAAGTGCATGCAGCCTCTTCCTTCTCTCAGGGGTCCTCCCCTAGGCCTCATGGCTTTGTCCCAGCGGCCCCAATATGTAGGTTCTTCCCACCTCCATTTTGTGGCATTGAAGTTATCACACTGCCTGACACGCACCCTGGCAGGCGAAGTGCCCATGCTCAGGGGCAGCTACACTGATGGGAATTTACTCCTGGAGAGGCAAAGTGGAAGTACTGTTATCCTCCTTTTTAAGAGCCTGGCACAGAGAGCCAAGGTTTTATCAAAATTAATTATATCATTTTTCCTGCCTAGCCTTGCTTAAGAATCCAAAGTAAAGAGAAAGGTTCCAGCTCCTACTGATACTGAATGACCTTCTGCTGCTAGCTGTCCCCAGTCACACTCTCCTCTTTTCTAGGAACAGACATGATGTTCAGACGTTTCAGCTGGTTGCCATGCAAGCCTCTGCAAATATTTTATCTTTGCTACTCTTCTCCAGACAGTATTTCTCTCAAACACATTCCCTGGGAGCTGAGGCTGCAAACTGGCCCTAGTAACCTAAGATGCATTATTCTATGTAACCCTACTACAATACATCCTGAGACCTCATTTCTGCTGGAGCAAGAATGTTGTTGTTGTTTTAGTACAAGGAGGCAACATCTTTGAGCTGTGCCTGCTCCTCTCAATCGCTGGTTCAATAGCTCTCAATAGCTCAATATGTGGTTAGCATATTCATTAAGAAGAAAAACAAAAACAAAAAAAAACAAAACGAAATCAACTTTTAAAACTAGCAGCTACTTTCTTTTGTTTCAGGAGAAAGCATCCAGAAGATTCTGTAAAAAATGCTTTTCTTTATAGTAGTCTTCCTTGGCATCTTCTCTCTATGGTGGCATTGGAGAGCAAGGGATGAGCTGAAGGTTACAAATCTCACTGGCAAATATATATTCATCACTGGCTGCGACACAGGCTTTGGAAATCTGGCAGCAAAGACTTTTGACCAAAAAGGATTTCATGTTTTTGCTGGTTGTCTGACTGAAAAGGGAGCCAAAGAGCTAGCAGCAGTGACCTCCAAGAAGCTTCAGACAGTACTGCTGGATGTGAGAGATTCAGACTGTGTTAGGAAAGTGGCTGCTTGGATCAAAACTGAAGTTCAGTCTGAAGGTTAGTTCCAGGATATCCGACAACAAAGCCCCAAAGCCAGCCACCTCCCTTGCTACACATTTGCTGAGCTGCATTACCAGGACAGGGAACAAATAACACAACCTCCACCTAGCAGGACTGAACAATTACTATTTTAAAAATTGAGCATGTGTATGACTTATAAACAATCATTATGTCACAAGCAAAAATATAGTTGACTGTAGTGAATAACTCTGAATATAACTACTATTTTGGAATATTGCTTGCAGGCCATCTGAAAAAAACAACAACATCCCATATCCCTGGTCCAACAAGTTGTATAAGACAAGTTGCTGTTACTGATGCTAACTGATTTCAGTAGCACCAGTATTGCCATAGAGTTTGCAAGGATATACAAATCCTATGAGCTGGATTCTGTTAACCTGGAGTTTTAAATCTGGTCTACTATAGGCCATAGCACCAATTATACATAACACTGAATTCCAAATTCAATTTGACAGACTCTTTCTAAGTAAAATAGCTATAAGCTTGTTCTGATTGCTTTCACTCAAAACTGAGCTTGGTTTCAGGCCAATGTGATATTCCTTCTACCCATGAAAAATATGAATGAGGTCAGGTTGAAAAAAATATTCATTTTGCAGCTCAAATGGTCAATGCAAGAAAAGAGCTGGCTTTAAGTTTTCCCAATATCCTTTCCATTTCTGAGGGCTCAGAAATGTTTAGCAAATGGATACAGTTCATTTTCCCTCTGTCCTCACCTAATTTTTAGAGCTGTATGCTCATTAAAAATGTACATATGAATAGTATAAATAATATTCTAAATATTTTCTTCCTATTTCCAGTTGGATGATGTCATTTAGTGTAAAGCATAAGCTCCACCCGAACAGAAATGTCCATGGAGGAAAAAGTAATACTGACATTTTCTCAGTCATTATTTTTAAAGGTCTGAAAAATATGTTTTTAAAAACAAAAACAAGGTTCAGCTCAGTTTTGTTAACTAGATCTGTTCTGGTCCTGAAGATGATGACTTTCCCTTTTTTTAAAACAAACAAACAAACAAACAAACCCAAACTTGCAAATAGGCCAGGTCTATTCTCTGCACAATTCCTGCTCTCTCGTGTAACTGCTTTTCCCCTAGCCTTCCTCTATTGACCTTCCCTCCCTCCCAACGAGGGAAAAAAAAAAAGAAAAAAAAAGAAAAACGGAGACTGTAGATTGTAAAGGGTGCTAGAGAACATGGTGATAAAATCTTGATCCAGGACATCAAGAAACGAAGTATAAAGCTGTGTGCTGCAAGGCACCCCCAAGCAATTCCTCTATGAATCTTGGTAGCCCATGGGTTCCTCATCCATTCTCTATGAAGTCTCACCTGGTTCGACCAATCTAACACATTATGTGAGAATTTGCGTCCTAATTTTCTTCTTTCTTTCCCTGCAGGTCTTTGAGGACTTGCCAATAATGCTGGGATCATGGGGCTATTAGCTCCCACAGACTGGTTGGATATCAAGCACTTCAGAGAACCAATTGAAGTTAATTTAATTGGACTCATAAATGTCACAATAAATATGCTTCCCTTGATAAAGAAAGCAAAGAGAAGGGTAGTAAACGTATCCAGCATCAGAGGGAACATAGCATTCAGCCGTGGGGGCTACTCCCCTTCAAAATTTGGGGTAGAAGCATTTAATGACAGTTTAAGGCACAATGCTCACTGATATCAAAAACCACTTTTCCCTGCCACCATATTGGGTATCACTAGCACAGACAGAACTGGAGCTGATTTACAAGCTTGGCCGTTAGTGTGGATTTGAAGAATACTATGGACTAATCCTTCTTAAGAGTGCCTTTGCTCAGCACATATTATGCCACTTTTGAAGATTAAGATGGGAGGTTTGCTGGGCACGAAGCGTTACCGTGGCGTAGCTAGTGCACCTTACTGCACAGGAGGCTCAGATCAAGGACTCCAAGCACTCAGAAAGCACCAGCCCAGGCCCATTAAAGACCAAAAACAAACACAAAAACAGACAACCACAAAACATCCATCACCATGAGTTGCTGATATTGATATTAACTTTAGTCTTAGCTTTGCTCTAATGTCTCATTATCATTAGAGAGATCTAGAGAATAGAGTAACCCAAACCTAGGGACCACCACGGCTCCTTCACATATTACAGGAACAGTTTGTGTGCCCAGATACTGAATGCCATTTGAGATACTAGCAGCATGTGAGACCCCTACAAGCATGACACAAGGTCGGGTAGAACGGCACTGATACAGACTACCAACTAGGGCCAAGTGGGACCCACTAAGACACATGAAATGGCTCCAGGCACTTAGGCAGCCAGACAGCATCACGGATAAACCCAATAATTAACAAGCTACTGAAAAGTAGGCTAGGGTATGAAATAAGATATGTCTGCTATGGCATAGTCACTGCCCACACATGCTCTCCCCCTGTGAAAAGGACAAGATAACTCAGGTCTCTCTCATTTGAGACTAAACTTTGAGACAGACTGAAATTCACAGACTTCTTTATCGATGTCACAGTATGTGTGTGCTCATGTGGCACACAAAGACAGAAATATAGGCAACAGTATAGGAGAAAATATTAACTAGAAAATCTAATGTGATGAAATCTTCGGGCTGTCTTTGCAGGAGAGATATGAAAGCTTTTCGAGTTAAAGTTTCTTGCATTGAATCTGGACTATTCAAAACAGCATTACCAAATTCAACAAGGATTATGAAAGAAAAGATTATCTGGGATCAGCTTTCTCCTAGTATTAAAAAGCAATACTAAAAAAAGCAAAATACATGAGTATTTTAAGAAAGGTGAGGCAATTTCCAGTCATTTTAAAAGAACCAAAACATTTGTTGCTAAATAAGACCTGCAAAATTGTATCATGTTTTCTGTCATTCTGACTTTTTAGAAATAGTGTGCTACAAAAAGTTATGCATTGAATGCTTTTGCATAATCACAATATGGCCAACCACACAGAGGAAAGAATTGTTTTATACCTGTGACACTTCATTCAAATCTGAGTTAAAAATCAATTATTTGTGCTGGCATGCGGGTAGAGCAAACTTCCAAGCTGAAACACAGTTATCTGATGATGCCAGCCTGTACCAATATGCTTTTGTATCATTTACCTTTCATTTATCTAGTAACCAAACAGGGATTAACACCCTCTGGTCCTATTAGTCCCAGTGGCAATGAAGCCGTTCAAGAATTGTGTCCGTATTTCTACTTCTCTCTGCATCTGACATATTTATTCTGAGCAATTGCCAAGACTAGTTACCTGACCTGAGGCAATACAGGCCTGGCTTCGCCATGACTATTCCACAACTCTGGACAACTAGACTGTTCTTGGAGTAAACTATATCCCAACTACATTATGGGCAGGGTACTTGGATCTCAGAAACTGCTAGGAATTCTTGCCTAAGGAGAAATCAATTCCTTAGTGAAGCTGCACAAGCAAGTGTGGTGGGAGGAGTTAAATGTTCTGTTCACTAAAAAGTCTTTTTTTTTTTTTTTCATTTTACAGATGCAGCAAAGAAAAGCTGTTCAAGATGTATCTTAACAGAGACATTTCATCAGTTGTTCAGTGCATGGAACATGCCCTGATGAGCTGCCACTCACACACCCATTACATTGTTGGGAGGGATGCTAAGGTTTTTTGGAATCCCCTTTCCAAAATGCAGCTGTACAAGACTTCTTACTTCTGAGAAACAGAGCAGAGCTTGAGGCTTCACATGCAGAGTAACACCTTTGCCAATATAATCCCAGATGATAATCTCAATTTTCATCCCAAACACAATCTGTTTTGTATTTCAACATGATCCAAACTTTACCTGAAATGCATTTACATAACAGAAGTAGGGTGTAAAAAAATCTATTTATCCAGTATCTGCTACTATTAAAAATATAATAAACCTTTGTATCATTATTTTTGCTTCATTCCTAAAACGTAAGACAGAAAACAAAGTCATTATTAAACTTTCAGTAATTACTGACATTTTTTAGTTCCTCCAAATTTTGGGTAGTCAGTTTAAGAATCCTTAAGTCTCCATAAATTCCATAAATCACTCCAGTATCCCAGGAAGCCAGGGAATGTGGCTTTCAGACCCCCAAAACATGAAGTCTTC